TTTAGACCTAACACACTTGGCTATTTTATCTACCTCTGGAACAAGCTAAACTAGTTATAAATATGTTTATTCTTCACTGTCGGGTCACTCATTACTGGATCAGTGAGCTGCATGAGACGATACTGACGGGCTGTCAGGGGAGAGAGAGAGGGAGAGAGGAAAAGAGAGCGCTTCCGCTCATTTCTCCCGTGTTATTATCCAAAGTTAATGTAAACTTGAATAATGTACTTCATTTGAATGTAATAATTATGTTGGTTGTTTTTTGTGGAAGCGCATCATGTATTGAAAAATGTATCTGAACTTTTCGATCCATTACGATTTATAAACTGAAGCAATATAAAAATGAGCCCCATTAACTGAGTTTTAAACATCACTTTAAATGGAAGATCCCCATAGCCCCCACCCACCCGAACAGATCGGCGAATGGTATCGGCCGATACTGATTCCAGCGATCCGCTCCAAAATTGGCGATTGGAGCATCTCTATATTCTACAATTTAGGATTTTCCAGAGAGGGTTATTTGTGAATATACGACCCTCCGGAGCGTTTGCAATCAATGGGAGCATCAGCCCATATGCCGCAAATTGTTGTTTCTTACACGACCACTAGAGGTGCCGAACTTTAAAACGTGACTATAAGTCGTAATAAGCTGCTGAACAATCGACCAATTTGGTTGTTTTTTGGAGGAGGACAGGCTGTGGAGGTCATGAACAAGGCTGTTCCAGCTGCAACAAAATTCTCTAAACATGTTCCCTTTTTAGGAAAAGCCTCATGGTCATTTGATAAACATGAATTAGCAGATAGAGAACACACTTCCTTTCCACCATTACTGGAAGAACCTTAAACCTCCTCTTACTCTGTTTTCTTTTTGAAGAGTGGTTGTTGTTAAAAAGGGGAAATTGTGAAGATGAGATTTACTCAACAATTATCACATCAAATATCTTTAAGATTTCAGAAATGGGCCCAAGGGAGTCTTTAAGTCTAAATAGGAATTTCTGATAACTAGTGGTAGTTTCCTGCTCTGCCTCCTTTATTCAATTCAAGTGGATTTTGTAAATGGACGCATTAATTGGGATGAGGGGGACAATACATTGTGGTTAAGAAGGCCTCTCAGTATTTTAGTAGTTTTCATTTACTGCCAGCTATTTGCAGCAAATTGCTAAATCTGCTAAATATGTTCCATTCTTAGCTTATTTAATACATTTTTAAAATGAAGCAAAAATAAAGTAATAATACATGTCTGGATTTGGCTACTTATTTGCAACAAAATAAGCCAACCAGTAGTAAGCACAAAAATGATTTCACATTGTTAACATAAACCACAGACAGGAATATGAATCTATCCTGTGTGTTTTCTATATCTGATATTAGTATGTTATCCCACTTTCAGCAGGCACAGACATTTTACTGACACAGTAAATAGTGATATTTCCTAGATCCTGTGGCGATAAATACTGGCAGAAGGCATAATAAAGCTGATTTAAGCAGAGGGTTGCATCTGCATTTATTGGAAATCCTCATTTTCCTATGCCACAAAGCTAACCATGTTTTCAGTTGCACCCAAAATCAACTAGCATTAGCATTGTGTAAAGAAACCACATATTAGACTTAGTTGTTTGAAATACAGATATTCTGAGACTTATCAAGACCATACTGAATCACAATTCAGTGTGAGGATCGGAATGAGTAATATACTGTATTCCCTGTTTCAAAAATCCTAATGAAGAGCTATTGCAAGATTGGAGGGCCGGGGGGGGGGGAATGGCCCTTAAACTGTTCTCTCTATAGACTTCTAATTTAATTTGGAAATTATAATACACAAAGATCAAATGGTCAATTTTAGAACAGCAAAGACACTGTTAAAGTAGCTTGCACTTAAACTGAGCTTTGCATCTTTTTGTACAGTATTCACAGCAGGTTTCAGAAAGCCTCTCTTCAGAGGAAGCCTTTGCAGTGACAAAACATTCCAGATCCAAGATAAAGCCCTGCTCAGAGAGCCATCTGCTGGGGAGGCGATGCAGACACAGAAAAGAGGAACACCTGCTACTCAGGACGCCACACATAGCCCTTCAATATTTTTGGGGAAAATGGCTCATTATGTAATGGCTTTAAACATGTTAATGCTTCATTTCCTGTGAATAATATTTGAAATTTACGTTGTTTCTACAGCTCTGTGGAGTTTTGCGTCTCTGCTTTGGGATCAGTGCGGGGAGTTACTCTCAGTGTGATGCACAGGAAGCGACAGATGGGATGGAAATCACAACCGACGTGACGACTCAAAACTGCATCCAGTTTCCGGCATTCTCTGGTCGTGATGAAGGTGGAACAGAGCTGGGAACACATACACTGATGTTAGTTTTATTCAGATAATGGCATATTACTTATTAAATGGACAATTTCAGTGGTTTTACATTACCCTGTATATACAGTAACTCTTTGTTATGGAAGAACTTGTCTGGTCTGTACATAGCTGTTGTATATTCTGAAGTACAAATGTATGTGACTTATAAAGTGCTTTGTATTGTGCTGAGTGAAATCAGCACCTGTTAGCATTCAAATATTTTTGTAAGTATTGTAATTATAGTTTTCACGCACCTTAAAGCTTTCATTTGCAAAACAATTTAGTTTCATGAGACACAAATAAATTTAAATCAAATTTGATAAAGTAAGAATATTTTAAACCAATTATTAATAGAATTTTAGGAACAATTATTGTAAAGTGGTATTAACCATCACTGTGATAAAGGAGAAATTACCTATGCTGTAATATTAATAGATGATATTGAAACTGTGACTGAACCAGGCCAAACATCACTCATGCCTTTGCGGTTGAAAGGAACAAACCACTTTGTAAAGACTTCCCTGAGTCATATGGTTGAAATGTTATGCCCACATAGTTTTTGCCCACATAGTGAATATTACAAAAATACGTTTTCTACCTTGCAGGAGCAGAGAAATCTCCCCAGAGATCAGAACTAGCGTTTGACTGGACCACTGTGTTAGAGTTACTGCTGTCCAGCTCCAACAAGCAGGCTGACGGAGACACAATTTGGTTTCATGAGACACAAATAAATTTAAATCAAACTTGATAAAGTAAGAATATTTTACACACAGAGCTTATTAAAGGCTGCTTACACACTTGACACACATTTCTTCTTATTTTCCTGCATCCTGAAGCTCTAAGAGCATGACTCATTCACATAGTGATTAAGAAATGAGGTCACTCCTGTATGTTAAAGCTGCACAAACATAATTAATAAAAATTTAAAAAAACACCATTTCCAACACACTGTGAAGAAGTTGCTCTATTTGCCCTAATTAAATACACGTGTTGGTGATCGTCACAGGTACTAATTCATATAAGTGATAATATTTATGTGTAGCTTTAGTTTGATTGAATGTGCCATCTACCTGTCGCCGTGTCTCCTGTCTGGGGCATGATGTTGTGATTGGATGGGCCTGACAGAGGAGGCGGGACTATCTTTCCTCCAGGTGGTGGTGGGAGGAGTCCAAATCCACCAGAGCTTAGGGGGCGGGGCTTATCCTTCTTTCTACCTTGCTAAAGACAAAGAACGAAAATGATTTATAGGAATATTAACGCTTTCAACGACCAGTTTATTTACATTAAGTGAAACTTAAATACTTTAACTTTTGGATTATTATGGGCTGCTTAATAACAAATAGGCAACTAAATTGAAATAGTGACCATAACTTTCTACACCTGCCAACAGTCATTTCATTTGGAAAATATAAAATAAAAGATGGATATATTGATGTTCTTACCCCTATGTTGAGTGTGATGGTCTGCCCCTCTTTAAAGCCCAAGTCCAGTTTTGGTCCTGAATCCACTAGATGGGCATTTTTACTGATTTCATTCTCCTGTTTCACCCATCTGCAGGGTGGCAGAGACACAAAGATACAAACCATCAGCACATATACACAAACAAACAACGCATCTCAGCAGTTTCCCAAAAACAACACAGACAGTACAGTATACAGTGCAGTACTGTATATCTCAGAGACAGCATTTTGTTTTGGCCTGGACTGCTTGTGCTGCAGAGGGTTGTAGGACAGCAGGACATGTAAAACAAGTTGTTAATTACTTAGAAGGAAAACTAATGGTCGTCTGCATGTCTGATGTTCAGTCGCATATGTATTGATTACTGTGAATGTACTTGCTTTTAACCACACTCAAACCACCCAGTCACTGCTTACTTGAAATGGTCCTGCAAAGACACGTTGAAATCAAAAGCGTCCCCTCGGTCCTCGAAGCCAACTCCTATGAAAGCACTGCGCCCTGTGGACAGGAAGTGATATTACAGATACTCACCTGAAAAAGAGTCAATATAACGTTCTTCTACAATCTTAAAAAGGTTTTTTTTTTCTAAAATGCACATCCTCACCGCTGTCATCCTGTATGCGCAGAACAAAATATCGGCTGGAGTCGCTGACCGTTTCCACTGAAACACCGGGGTACTCAGTAATTGGTGCCTGGGCAAACAGCTCCCCTGCAGGACATTTGGGGGAAAGACAAAATAAGCATACAAATTAGTTTGCCATCCATGCTTTTATCGAAGTGATTTCTGAATTGTTTAGCCTGGTTGAATAAGAGCTGTAGCCAAGGGTGTAACTTTGGTTTGAGAAGTGGGGGGGACAAAAACGAACGAAAAACGTTCTCGATTTGAATCCCATTTCCTTTCAAAAATTACAAGCCTCAACGACTACCGCCCTGTAGCACTCACCTCCATTATCATGAAGTGCTTTGAGCGGTTAGTCAAAACATTCATCACCTCCTCCCTCCCTCCCTCCCTCCCTCCCTGACTCTCTGGACCCCCTGCAGTTTGCCTTGAGCAAACAGGTCCACAGACAACGCCATAGCCCTCACCCTCCACACTGCCCTCTCACACCTGGACCAGAGGAACACATATGTGAGAATGCTGTTCATTGACTACAGTTCAGCTTTCAACAACATTGTGCCCTTCAAGCTGGTCATCAAGCTCAGAGACCTCGGGCTCAACAGCGCCCTCTGTGACTGGATCCTGAACTTCCTGACTGGGAGACCCCAGGC